GAAAGAGATTGGAGCATTTGCAAGAAAGTTTGCAATCAAAAATCTAAAACTTGGGCCAGCTGGTGACACAGCGGTTAAGGTGGCTGGATCCCTCATGGCTTACTGTGGTTTGAAAAACACACTGGACATTTGTGTTTGTGTGCCCCAAATCCTAAGAATAGAGATGAAAAAATTGTGGCGTGGCCATACTCTCTTGAGAGGCAGGTGTGATTTCTCACTTTCTCTCTTCCTCTCTCCTATGAGTGTATGCATCCCATAGCAAACAAACAAACAAACAAACAAAAAATCCCCATGGCCTAGTGGTTAAGGGAACTGGGTCCCACATGGTGGACCCAGGTTCAAAACCTCGCCCTGGTGGTTTGAAAATCATGCTGGGCATCTGTGCATGCCTGCCCCAAATCCCAACAGGGTGGAAAAATAGAGAAGGGACTGTGGCATGACCACATCTAATAGTGGGTGATTTCTCCCTCTCTGCCTCCGTCACTGTGTCTCTCCCCAGGGAGCACACATGCCCCCTGGCAATTTTTTTTTAATCCAAAATTAGTCGTAGACCCAACACTCAAATATTTTAAGCTACTGTTACATCAGAAACATTATTTCTCAAGCTCGAGAAGAGCTAATGGAAAACCTTCTGGGCTTGCAAAGGTATGAACTTATATACAGAGTTATAGTAGCCCAAGCTCTGATCTTGATAAAGGTCGACGTTCCTCTACCTCTTCTACCTCTTTATGTAAGTAGAAAATACTCCAAATAAACTTGTTCAAGGTTGTTACTGTTGTCCATAAACACTTATCGAGTACCCACATGGCCTGCACTGACCTGACTAGACTCATTCAGCTTCCCTGAACCATCACATGGATAAGGAAACACATCTAAGAGCATTGCTTCATCACCATTCAGGAATTATACCCTTTAACATTTCTACATAGGTATGTGCTGCTCTTAACCAGCTTTTGTTGTAAGTAAGCACTAAAATAGAGGCCTATAATTAGCTCTCTGGGGAGGCGAGTGTGTGTTAGGGAAGAGCTAAGCAAGAGAAAAGTCAAGGCAGGTATTGGGGAAACATGGCTTGGAAGAGTTGGAAAACAAATGGATTGGAAATGTGGGCTACACCACTAGAGTGGAGGGAAAGGGAGTCCTAGCACTGTGGACCTTGCTACTGGATGGTTCTGAAACTACACTTGCAATTTACCTAATCCCACTCCATTTTAGAAACCTGTAGTGGGCTGGGCTGGAATGAAAGGTACATGATCCCAGTCAGATCACAGCTCCCTGAGGGCAGCACTGTGTCTGGTAAGGTCTGTGTCTTAGCCCTGGAGCCAGCATCTGGCCTCATACTGGGCTCTCAATCTGTTTCTTGACTCACGTTCTTCCTGACCTCCCTGCTATTACCGTCTTCACCTTATGGTATATAAATCTAAGACTAGAAGTCAACTCTAAGCCAGCCTATCTCTGAGTTTCAAGTTCCCTGCTATTGTACAAGAGGACTTCAAAAAGTTCATGCAAAAGTGGAATTAAAGTACAAGTTTATTCTGAGGCAAAAATAAAATCTGGGACCAGCAGGTGGCATGGTTGTAAGGATGCTGGTCCCATATGGTCAACCAGGGTTCTAGTCCCAGACCTGGCAGCTTGCTTTCTCACTTTCCCTTTCTCTCTCTCTCTCTGTCTCTCTCTCTGATGAAATTAAAAAATAACAATAATAAAATTAAATAATTTTTTAAAAGAAAATGTTAATTAAAATCCATGCATAGTTTTTTCATCATATACATTTTCTATGCACTTTTTGAAGACTCCTTGAACTTAGAATGAGCCTTGATACAGAAGGACATGTTGGCTTCCCTTGAATGAAGTTTTGCTTGCTCAAAGCATTCTTGCCTTCCTGGAAAACTCAGACAGGTCACATACAGCACCAGGACTTAGGACTGAGCCCAGCTACTGGTCACCCTTCCAACCTTATCTTTAAGAATTACTTTTAACTTTATTTATTTGTTTGTTTTAATTTGACCAGAGAGGGACAGAGTGAGAGAAACAAAGAGAGGGTAAATGAGAAAGCAAGCCACCAAATCCAGGGCTCGAACTGTGATCAACCATGTGGGAGTCCAGCACCTCAACCACCACGCTAACTGCTAGCCCCTTTCCAACCTCTTTTTATTCTTTCTACCAATTCTTGCTACTCTCCTCATATTTGGGGACTTGGTCTCTTCCTGGTCTACTCTAACCACAAATGACCTACTGAACTATTTTCTCTGCTTAGATGATTAAAATAAAAGTTATAATAGACTTGAATCTTGCTTAAATTTAAGTTTTTTTACACTTCATGTTTAACAGTTTGACCTGCAGCCCTCAGTGCTGTGTGGAGAACATAGATGTGACCCTGGAGCAGCTAATAGCCGTGCTGAGAAAATAACACACTCTCCAAGGGTGTTTCTTCAAACCCCAAAATACACGAAGTTGTATTTGCACCAAGCACAGAGCAAGGTTTTCAGGTCACAAATCTGATGGAAGGGTGATGTTCAGACAAACTATTTTCAGAGCAAGCTAGTAATTCCATCCAGTTCTTACACCCATTTCTTCACAGAGGGACAAACCTTAGACAAATTTGAATAGCTGCAGATTATTGGTAATTACACAATGCTTCACATGGCCTGATATAACACCATGATTTCCAAGCTAGACTGATTACGGTGTTTTACTCCCTGCAGAACCTGAGAATACCCGTAAGACTCCCACATTTCAAGCAGGTGACCATTTCTCTGCTCTATCCTGTAGTCTCTCTTGTGAAATGAACTTAAAAACCACTAGGTACAGAAAACCCAGAAATAAAATTTAAGAGAACTAAACCTGCTCAGAGGATGTTAACATACAGCCAAACAATTCAATGTGGTTTGTATATTTTTCAGAAGGGATTGGCAAGAAGGGCGTAGGACCTAACTCCTTGACAATGGTCGGCAGGAGGAGCCCTTCCGGAGTCACCTGGCATGAACGTTTCCTGGTGCTGTGAATTTCCTTATTTTGTCTTCAAAATCCTCACCCAGAGGACAACTCTCAAAAGATTTTACATAAAGCATCTTAAAAAAAAAAATTACCACTCTTATCATTAATCCCCTCTCTAAAAAAAAAGAAAAAAGAAAGAAAAGACAAAACAAAACCCCGCACATATGTAGCTGCTCAGTTGCAGGAGAGAGAAAATACTCATCCCCTCCTGTTGTTCCCGGAAGCAGTGCTGGAGAAAATATAACCAACCAGGCGTGAAGTTACTACACAGAGACGGGTACACCCACAGGTGAGGATTTCACAGCAGGGCGGAGGAGGTGCTGAGCAAAGCTCCAGGCTTGCAGGGAAGCAAAACTCACCGAGTCACTGTCTGCAGAACTACCATATTGTTACGCTAGAACTAATGATTATGTCAACACTCTACTTTCTCTTTACTACACCAATCTGTTCTTTAACAGGACTAAAACTGCTAGATTAGCTAAGGTCATATATTTCTGAAAAGTGTGAAAAGTTTCTCTGAAAACACTGCTTTTAAAAAGAAACTTGTATTGTCCTAACATTTTTTTAATATATGTTGATTCATCACCTTTATATAAGATGTATTTGTTAATTATTTTTTATGAAATTAAAATGATAGAGGACAATTACCATATAGGAAGCGAAACTACAAATGGTGATTAAAGAAGCTGATGCCGATAGGGAATTTCAGCGCACTAAAGAAGTTCTTTAGATCCCCTTTCAGCCACCTTTATGAAACACCCTCATGTGCCAAATGAACACCATGTTATTTGCTTTTGAGAGTGCAAGAAGGCAGTGTGATTGGTGACTGGCCTTTGTCATCAGGTATTTAGAGCCTAATTAGAAAAAGTAGGGACTGGGCCCAGCAAATGACGTAATGGTTATGTCGCTGGACTCCCACGTAGTTGACCGCAGTTCAAGTCCTGGACCTGGTGGTTTAAAACATGTCAGGTGTGTGCATGTGTGCATGTGTGGCCAAGATCTCAAGAAGAGCGTGGAGGAGAAGGGATTGTGGTGTGGCCATCCCCCTGTGAGGGAATGATTTCTTTCTTTCTGTCTGTCTCTCCAGTGAGTGCACAAGCCCTATAGCAAAAATCTCTCTCTAAAAAAAAGTAGGAGCCAGCAAGTGGCATGGAGTTTGAGGTGCTGGACACCCACGTGGCCGACAGAAGTTCAAATCCCAGGCCTGGTGGCTTGTAGTTCACACTGGGCATGTGTGCATGCGAGCCCAAGATCCCGAAAGGAGAATGGAGGAGAAGAGATTGTGACCATCCCCCATCGGGGGTGATTGCTCACTTTCTCTCTGTCTCTCTGGTGTGCAAGAAAAAGAAAAAGAAAAAGTATTGAAAAGTAGATATGGATATAAATAAAAATCAACAATACTAGAAAATAAGTAGTATAATGATCAAGAGTACACACCGAGAGCCAGATTGCCTTCGTTTGAACCCAGTTCTACCACTCAAGGCTAGGATTACAGTGAAGCATTTATCTCGGGTATGACATTTAAGGGGATGCCCAAAACCTCAGTAATCAGCCCAGCCTGGTAGCCCCGTTGGTAGCAAACTCAAGTGCAGTGCTAAAATCCACATGTCTGACTGTGGTCACACCTGAAAACACTCTGGACATGCACTAGAATGACCAGGACCCTAGAGAACTGGAAGGCCTAGAAGGAAGCTCCCGGGATGGGATCCTGTTGAGGAGCACTCTCTTTCTTGCTCATACCCTCTATAATGAATATAAGTAAAAAAGGTCCTCAGTAATTAGGACAATATATTTTAGTGTAATTTTTTTTTCATTTTGCAGATATTTATTATAAAATAGTGTGGCTGGCTCCATACTAGACATTGGGAATACAACAGTGGACAGATAGGGGCTGCCCTGATACTGCAAATGTAAGCTTCAAGGGACCTGCCCGATCTAGCCCACCATCCTCCCCTCAACCTGGCAAGGTATGTGAACAAAGAAGACTCCAGATGGGAGACTGGACAGAAAAAATATGAAATGTCACGAATTGGCATGTCATCCTTGCACGGGGCCATGCTAATCTTCTCTGTATTGTTACAATTTTAATATATGTGCAGCTGAAGCGAGCACAATGCAATATTTTTTTAAAAATCAAAATCAATGCAAAAAAAACCCTCAATGCACAAAATAGCAAAAGTTTAAATAAAGACGAGTTTCAACAATCCTGTGCTAACCCGCGTTGATTCCCAAGGCAAAAAGGAAAAAAATGTGTGCCCCTATAAATGAGGAGACTTAAAAGAGTTCATGGAAAAACTGAACTAAAGTCTGAGTTTATTTTGGTGCAAAAATACTTTGAAATTCATGCATAATTTTTTCATAATACGTCATTTCCCTAAACTTTTTGAAGATCCCTCATTCACGTTTTGGTGTATTTTTAAAACACTTAATAGTTCTCTGGCACATTAGTGGCAATAAGAAAGTACTGAAAACTGAATAGTAGGTGTATTAAAACTCATGTATTATTTTAAGTTTAAGTATTTTATTTTTACCACAAACAGACTTTGTTGTAATTTTACTTTCCCAGCTTTAATGGAAGCAAACTTACCACTTCTAGCTTGGTAATCCTGGGTGATTCCTTAAACTTTTTGTGCCCTAGTTTCCTCTTCTGTAAAAAGGGAGGGGAGGGGAGACAGAGTTTCCCAATTGTGAAGATTGAGTTCTGTTGTTTTACACACTTTAGAATGGCACCCAGCCTATGGCAAATTCTCTTCAAGGTAACCTACTGTTAATGTGCACTTTTATTATATGAACAATTAAGTTTTAGGATATCAGCAATGCAAGAGATCGGTTTCAGCCTAAGTTCTGCCTAGCATTTGCCACTCACTCTCTGTTCCTCCCTACAGGCAAAACACACAGACACATACACTCTATGTGAGGCAGGACTCCATGCTGGCTCCTCGCTGTACGCTCTGACCTATAATGGGTCAAGGCCTATAACAGGCATTTGATAAATACTTACTGGGTGAGAGATAATCAGAGAGTGCCTCACAGAAAAGATGGCATTTGAGCTGACCTTGAATAAATATTAGGGAAACAGTGGGGAGGAAAGGAAGGGGATGAGGAGGGAAACTCTTACCACTGACTCACCACCAAAGTGTGCTGAGTTCGAGTTACTAGCAATAGACCCAACTGGAAGTACCCATCAGTCATATGGAAATGCGAGATTAGCACTTGGAAGAAAGACAGATGAAAGGGTAAACTGAGCATAATTCATGTGGCTGTGAGAAGAATATCACATAAGCAAATGTCCCCCCAAAGGGAAAGGGTGCGAACAGAGAACTGCACACAGCAAAGGATGGAGATGTAGAAAGAATGACTGGGTACATCTGAAGAACTAGGTGAGACGTCTGGGAATTCAGCATGGCCTTTAGGAATTAGGAGCTCCCAGATCATATAATATCTCCTTGATTACTAAAAACGCTCTCTGAGGTAAGTGCAAATGATCTTTGATTAAGGTGTTCATCCTAAAATATTTTATTTCTTTTGAAACTTGATGAAAGTTCAAATAAAATACTCAGCAGTTAGTAGACTGTGTTTAATTTTATTTGTGAATTTGCTGTAGGGCACATGTCCTCTCCAGAGAGACAGAGAGAGAGAGAGAGAAAGCGAGAAATCAGCCCCCAGAGGGGATGGCCATGCTGCAATCTCTTCTCCTCCATTCTCCTCTCGGGATTTTGGGCGTGCATGCACACGCGCCAGGCATGGTTTTCCAGCTGCTGTGTTTGAGGCTCCAACTGCACAGTCAGCCATGTGGGATCCAGCCGCCTTGCCCTCCATGCCACCGGCTGACCCAGTAGACTATGTTTTAACACCATATATTTACTTCTAATTAAACTCCCCAACAGGAAAATGTCTAATAAGATTAGTACATGATACTGTTACCAACTGCTTTGAAAAGCTGGAGAAGCCAAACCTCACCTCCATGCCTGCCTTTGAACATGAAGCACTTTATGTCATCTTCAACTCTTAGATTATTCTTCAAAAAGCCAGTAATTTGGAAACATCGGAAATGTGGCTTGGTTCCCAGTTTACCTCGGAAAAGCTTATCTTTCCCAGTGTCCTTGAAGCACATTATCAATAGTTTTTTAATCCTCTGCTTATAACTCAGTTTCTGTAACAACTATCACATTGAGTGGCTTATGTATTTATTTGTTTCCCTTATGAGCTCCTCTAGGACAGAAGCTGTGCCTTAATTACCCTTGTGTCCTCAGCACCTAGCACCCTGCCAGATCAACATACAGCAGACATTCCATAAATAGATACGAAGTGAATGAAGGAACAGAGTTCTAAGCTCCCTTCCAGTCTGATCAGGCATCTCTCCATTTTCTTAAATATGTAGTAGGAGCTCCTAAGGACATGTGGTAAGAGCCATCCAGTGAGGTGTGCACTGGAGAAAAAAAAGACACCTGAGCCTGCTGGGGGAGGGACGGTGGCTGTTGAGACAGGAGCTCAGGGAATGTGAAGAAGGCCTCAAGAAAAGCAGGAGCAGAAAATGTATAAAACACATTTACAGGGGCAGTAGGTGGCATGGTGGTTGAGGTGCTGGACTCCCACAGGGCCAACTATGTTTTGAGTCCTGGACCTGGAGGCTTGCTTTCTCACTTTCCTTATCTCTCTTTCTTTGTCTCTCTCTGGTCAGATTTAAAAAATAATAAATAAAGGGACCAGCAGGTGGCATGGTGGTTAAGGTGCTGGACACTCCCACATGGCTGACCAGGGTTCAAGTCCTGAATCTGGTGGCTTGCTTTCTCACTTCCTGTCTCTCTCACTCTCACCCTCTGTCTCTCTCTGGTCAAATTAAGAAAGAAATGAATGAATAAATAAAATAAAGTAAATAATTATTAAAAAAAAAGAAAAAATAATAATAAATAAAATGTAATAAATAGTTCTAAAGCACACACACACACTTACAAGCCATTTGTATGCTCATGGAGGATAAGCTGCCATGGTATACATTGCTGGTGGAGGTCTACATCTGCCCCTTTCTTCTTGGCGAAGTCCAAATTTGGTCCTCAGGAGGCTATGTGTTCTGAAAAGGCACATTGGGTCAAACCCTGAGGGAATGGTTTTGATTCAATTCTGGTCAATGAGATGTGAGAAGAAATCGGCTGGAGTGGAGGCAGAGAGGTGAGAGAAATTCTCTTGCTATTAAGAAGAAGAAAGGAACTGGCAGGTGGCGTGGTGGTTAAGGGCACTGGACGCCCACATGGCTAGCTGCAGTTTGAGTCTTGGACCTCGTGGCTTGCTTTCTCACTTTCCCTTGCTCACTCTGTCCCTCTCTGATCAAATTTAAATAAATAATAAATAAATAAAGTTAAATAAAATAATTCAAAAAAAAAAGATGAGGCAGATATGGGACCAACAGGTGGTAGCCTGGTGGTTAAGGCACTGGATTCCCACATGGTCAACTGTGGTTCAAGTCCCGAACCCAGTGGTTTGAAAATCACAATAAACAAGTAAATGATTTTTTTTTTTTTTAAAGCAGCAGATAAGAAGAAAACATTCCTTTTTACCAACTCTGGCAATCTTGCTATGATTTGCTATGGATGGTGAAGAAGAAAGACAGGCAGAATTAGGTCTCCCATGATGTCACTAAGCCCCAAATTACTCAATTCTAGAGCCAATCTACATCTGGCCTTATTAAATGAAACAAAGAGTCCTTCTCTTGTTTAGGCCTATTTTTAAAAAAATAATTATTTTATTTTTTTATTTATTCATTCTTTTTTCTTTTTAATTTGACCAGAGAGAGACAGAGGTTGAGAGTGAGAGAGAGGGGAAGTGAGAAAGCAAGCCACCAGATTCAGGATTTGAACCCTGGTCGACCACGTGGGAGTGTCCAGCGCCTTAATCACCATGCCACCTGCTGGTCCCAGCTGTGTGTTTAGGTCTATTTGAGTCAAGGTTTCTATGACTCCAAGTCAACAGTAGTTATGGATTTGTGAAGACCCAACTCCCTAGTTCAACTGCGTCTTCTAGTGGCACATGAGTTTTACCAGGATCTGGCCTTTACATGCATGGAATGAGCTAGGTCTATAAATTTGCAGAATGTGAATTCTTTGCTTCTTGGAATCAGTGTTTACAAAAAATAAAACACTTTAGCATATGCTTATTTTAAATATATCAGTGAGTTATTAGGCTCACACACCCGAGCAGCCTTGCTAGTCAAGTCTATAGCAAGTGGATTCCACTCGAAGAAGCAGATGGAACCAAGGGCTCAATCATGGGCTGGACTGTGGATTACGTGCTATTTCATTTGTAACACAAATATTTGTTTTCAGTTGCAGTTCCATTTTAATTAGAGACAGAACTGCTGACTTGTTTTACAGAATTTAGACAAGAAACACTCCTCATTCCTGACTCTAAAAAGCTAGGATGAGAAAGGAGGGAGTGACATTCATACAGAGTAGCTTAGAGACGGGATCGCATCTCTTATGACACTTTAAGGAATCGCAGAAGATGGTGACACCAAACACAAATCCAATTAACCCTCCTGTCTGGCAGCTAATGGCCTTTTGGATTTTCTATGTTATTTTCCTCCTCATTAATTTTAGATGTTGTTGACAAGAGTTTTTTTTAATCTATTATTTTTTTTTAATTCTCCTTCACCCCATGTAGTAACCCATCTCCCAGCTCCCACTGAGCAAAGAACAGGCACTGTGCTTTCTTGCTTCAAAGGAGGTCTGTGACTGGGCAGAAAGTACAAGTTGCCTATGGGACATTTTCCTTCTTGAATTTAGTTTTCAAAAGCTTAGTCATTGATTATTTTATTAGGTGGGGGTAGACGGTCATGAGAGGGAAATATAAAGAAAATGAAATATTCATCAGACTAAAAGATTACTGGACATGCAGAGGAGCAATAGAGGTCTATAGATTCCTCAAGTATCAGGGACTAGAGCCCTCTCCGTAATAGTGCCCTGAGGATGTGATCAAACTTTCAAAGGCTTAGCTTTGGGGTACACCTGGGGAGACAGAACTTTAGGCAGCAGCCTTGCCACAGATCCCCGCGTCTGAAATACTGCAGGGGAAAATCAGCCAGCAGGTTCGAAGGGACCACCATGGCCAGGACGACAGGTGTCTCAGCAGTTACCAATGCAGTCTGATGACAGGTGACCAGAGGGCCTCTCCCATGTCTTGGCACTATGAGACTCTCATTTTTCCAGCAACCTTCGGGGTGAAGGAGTATGCCTGGGAATACATTTCCTTCTTACTACATGGGACAAGATAATTGATTAAAATACAAGAAAAAACTCAGCATCTCTAAGTTGGCATGTATTGGAAGGATATTGAATAGTTCACTGGATGGATGAAACAGCTAGAGAAGAAGACTTATGAAGTGGGCTATGCCAACTTGGGATGGATTCTGACACAATGGCCAATAGCCTTCCACAGGACAGTCTGCCCCTGCTAGTACTCCACTGCTGTTGACAGGCTAACACCATCAGCACTAGTGGCTTCTGAACTGTCTTGAACCTCTGCTTCCTTCCTTGATATGCAAAATCCCTGAGTGGCCAAGCCTGAGTCCTGCACCATACCCTGGGTGGCCCTAAGTAGGGAGAGGAGGTCACCTCTGAATACAGTGGAGAGCACAGCATTGCCCAATTGTGCAATGAGAAACTCCCTCCAGACTGGAAGAATGGATGCCGAATGGAAAAGAAGTGAATGTGACAATGTCCACCATAGTTCCAACTACTTAAGGAGAACGAAAGCTGTGTTAAAAGTTCGGAAATCTCTGGTTTTCAATTCAATACCTTGGAAATGCACTCACCTTATTTTCTGGAACCAAGCCCTGTTATAGCTTTATGCAGCCTCATAATTTTACTTCCAGATCAATTTGTAACCCTTGACCCTGATTTCTGCCATGTACTTGGCCCTGCCCTTTGGCTCTGGATCCTTCCTCTGTTCATTTTAGATAACCGTAGCAATTCCTTAGGCTGAAGGACTGAAAGACTTGCCAGGCACCTACCTTCAGAATGATCGTTTGCACTCCTCTCTTACCTCACCCTGATGCACACGGCTCTTGGTGTCTGGTCATGTTAAGAGGGAAGATCACGTATGGACCACAGACTTGGAAGGCTATTTGCATCTCTCTATTTCTAGGCAGAACTGGATTCTCAGAAAAACAGAAATATGCCCTATTTTCTAAGTGCTTCAGAAGTGGGAAATACTATTCTTGATACATCCAGCAGTAAATAAGGTACAAGCTATGTTTGCAGACTCAGTAGAACCACTCATTCACTGGGAAGAAAGATGTTCATAGACAGTCTCTCCATCTGTTCAAATGAACGGGAGAAAGAAGTGGAACAAGGGCTCACGAGAATGGCCAGGGACACATCAGCCCCATGTTTCCTAGGATTGCTACTCTCCTGTTCTCTGGTTGTCAGGAGGCAGAGCTTGGGATGTGGGGTCCAGGAGGGCAAGGGGTCTTCTCTTATATCTGGGAGCAGGCTGGAGGGTGGGGGGACACCTCAGAATCTGTTTCTGACAAAAGAATCTCCTTTTTTTCTAGAAGTTTATCAAAATGCAGGACATTATATAGGAGACAAGGGCTCTGAAAAGGGGAAAACTGAGTGAGGACTAAGAACACAAACTCCTGGTATGACAGGAAGTGCCACAAAGTCTTAGAAAGTACTTATAAGCTACAAATGACCAATAGATACTTAATAAATACTTCTTAGTCAACAAGAAAAAGTTAGGGGTCAGTAGGTGGTGTAGTCCTTAAGGTGCTGGACTCCCATGTAGTCAGTCATGGTTCAAGTCCCGGACCTGGTGGCTTGAGACTCAAGCTGGGCATGTGTGTGTGCGTGCCAAGAATCCCAAGAGGAGAGCTAAGGAGAGGGGATTGCAGCATGGCCACCCCCCCAGGGGGTGATTTCTCACTTTCTGTCTCTCTGAATCTCTGGTGAATACATGTGCCCTGTGGCAAAACTCTCACAGCCCCCCACCCCAAAAAGCAAAAAGTTGGAATATTTTATTTTTTTCTTTTTTTTTAAAATTATTTTATTTAACTTTATTTATTTTTTTTCCATCCAGAGTACACTGTATATTGTCTTAATCAAGCACATCAACAAACATGTTATTGTCAGCAAATAATTTTCCATTTCTTGTTTTCTGTATGTTTTGCTTTTTTCCCCCCATCCTTGATTCCCTATCTCTTACCCTCTGGCATCTCCCACTCTCCTCCCACACTGTCTCTGGTATCTATGTTTGCTTTCTTTACTGTTTCCCCTTCACATTTTATTGAATCACCAAAGACCCTAATCAATCCAAATACCCTCATAGCAAACACAGGTGACACACATATTTCCATGAACACAAGTCTAACTTTACGCATCCTATAAAGTAGCACCTAGCTGGGGCTACATATCCTACTGCAGTCATTGAATAGATTTTTTTTTTCCTGAAACTTTTTTTTGTAACTCAATTTACATTCCTTCCCTCAGCATCATCACAGCACACAAAATGCGATCTCCCATCCAGTACACACTGCATAGTGACTCAATCATGCACATTACAAAAAACTTTCCATTCCTAGTTCCTAGAATTATTTCCACCCTTCTTTCTGACCCTCTGTCCCTTCCCACCCTCCTCTCACACCACCTCCGATAAGTTAGAATATTTTAAATAAAGACAAAATTTCCCAATGTTTTTTGTTTTAACTTCCTTAATGTTTTCACTTACTTTGCTCTACATTTAAGGGTCTTGTGTGGCGAGTTTGTCCGAAGGGAGGACAAAGTCTCCACAGGTTTGTGCTGTCCTCCAGTGCCCCGTGTGTACCTGCACATTCCAGTTAGCAGGATCTTGAGAGCCACAGCACTAGTGCCCTCCAAATTGGCCACTGGCCAACAGTAAACAGGTTCTGGTTGGTCACACCTGAGGTTTGGAAAGCTCCCCTACACCCAACCCTGAGGTGTGGTGTGAAGCCTGGACAAGAACAGGCAAGTTCGTGCTGAGCTCTGGGCCTGTGTGGGATGAGCCTGCTCTGGGTTCATGCCAAGTTGTGCCCTGAAATGGGAAACCTGGACAAAGGTAAGAAAAAGTCCCAAAGGAAACTAGAGCAAATTTGAAATTTTCTCAGGGTTCTGCCAAGATGCAGAAGCCTATGCCCCCTCCCCTGTCCCTTCTCTCATAGCTGATCACTGTACTAAAGGCGATTCTGCCTTGTGTAGCAGCAAGTCTGTTCAAACAGAGGAGGACTGAAAACTACAGATAGGCAGGGACTTTGAAAATTGTGTGGAAAATGGAATTAAAGCATGAGTTTATTTGGGTGCAAAACTTTTTTTAAAAAACCATGCGTAGCTTTTTCATAATACACATTTTCCATGAACCTTTTGAAGAGCCCCACATGTTTCATTGTTCATCAGCGATGAAGCTAAAGTACAGAGCATTTATAAATAGCGTATAAAATATCAAGTATACAATAGTTTACTTTCCAATGGCATTTTCCCTGAATGTGATTGACAAGGGCTAAAGGTCATGGAACGAAGATTTCGTATGACTCACATTTATTTCTTTCTGTTTCTTAGCTGTCATACTCCATAATGAAAGGTTTTCGAGCCCATTATTACATCAGGAACACTACCACTTCTCAGGGGACCTCCCAACCCCAAGGACTTTTTACTCTCTCTCCAAAGAAGGTATCACATTCTCAAAAAGGGAGTCAACTTATCAGGTTAGTTAAGGCATAACTTACTCAACCACCAATCTGTATATCAATAAGGCTTGCATGGTCCGCAGAGATTTGCCATACCAGACCAAGTCGCACATCTAAAGGCAAGCCTTCAGCTGGTCAGAAACTCCCAGGTTGACTTTTACAAACAGAGAGAGTGACCTTAACACTTCCATGCTTTTAGGAAGCTCTTAAACATCCTGTTTTTGAGCTCAGAAGAAAGTGAAAAATGGCTTAGCTCCCAGGAAATATAACAGATAAGGTCCACAAAAGCTAGGGGTACCATATATTTTCATTTATAAAGGCATTTCCATGCCCCTTTTATGCTCAGCAGAGGACCCAGCCTCCTGCTCCATTGAGAAGAGAAAGAGCAACAGGACAGATAATTTCCTCGACTTTTCTCCTTTCGCTTCCTAACTTACACATTTTTTATCAGGTGGTCAGAAAAGTCATGACTTATTTTTCTCTGCAAAAAGGTGTCATGACTTTTCGGATGACCCAATAGTATGTTTGTTTTTTATTCATGATACAGTATGTGTGCGTGCATGAGAAAGATACAGAAAGAGAGAGGAGCACGCTCCCCAGGGTCTAGCACACCGTGATTCACTTCCTCCCATCCTCCTGCCCCATTGGATCTTGGGTACTCAAGTACCTGGCATGTCAGACTGACAGGTCCTGGGACTTGAACCACAATTGCCATGTTTCTTTGAGCATTGCAGTCCAGCATGCTAACACCTGTACTACCACAGCTGGGTCTAAACTTATATTTTTACTCACCTCCTTCATTTCAGCTGAAAGAATGGTAGCCCTCTCCAATATTCACCACTGTATACTCTCTCCAGCTTCCTGACACCTCAAGCCATCCACAGGCCTCTCTGTCTGCTTTCTTTCCTCTCTCTCTTGCACTAATTCTCCCAGCCATTCATGCCTTGACCCACTAGAGACAGTCCCAACTGCCTTACTCCACAAACTACCTTTCTTTCTTTTTCTTTTCTTATTTTTGGCCAGAGGATGTGTGCACTGTCCAGAGAGAGAGACCAAAAGATAGGGAGAGAGAGGGAGCAGGGAGAAAACATCTCCCAATAGGGTGTGGTCACTCCACAATCCCTTCTTCTTCATTTCAACATCTTATCAGAATTTTGGACATGTGTTCAATGTGTTTTTCAAGTCACTAAGGTTGGGGCTTGAACCGTGTGGTCAGCCATGTGGGATCCAATTCACAGAACTGCTTTTGGAGCCTGTTACTGCCACAATCTTATCTCAGCCTTGGCCTTGACTCCAAAACAAGAATTTCAAATATCTGTTTTTGTGACCGCTCTT